CTGAACAAATGCAGGGAGTTCAGAGAAAAGCCACTGGAGGAGCAGAAGGCCCTGATCAAGGAGTACAAGGTATGCTTCAAGTGTTGCAAGTCTAAACACCACGTGGCTAAGGAATGCCAGGCCAGTATCAAGTGCTATGAGTGTGGCAGTGACAGGCACCCCGCTGCCTTCCATTTGGACCCCGTCCACCATAGCCACTCATGTCTAGCTCCCCTGCTGAGAAGACCCCAGTTGAAATGATGGGTCAGAACAAGCCCACTGGTGTATACTGCCCTCAGGTCTGTGGCGCCAAGAACGGCCAAAGATCCTGTCACTAGATATGTTTGGCTAAGGTTTTTCCTGCAGGCCACCCAGAAAAGGCAGCAAAGATGTACATAATCTTAGATGGACAAACCAATTGGTCCTGGGCTCCCTTTTGTCTCTCGAAAGCCCATGCCCAGAAAATCTTTTTGCTTTGTAAGGTGCTCCTCAATTCGAAGCTAGTTCTTCCACTGCAGACCAGCATGGCAACCCTCGGAAATCACTATACCAAGTACAACACTTCTGAGTATTTTGAACAAAGGAAGCATCCTGCAATACACCTTGAAAGGAGGTGTGATTTCTTAACCGAAAGGAAATGCATATTTTGTGCTGGAAAGAACTGTTGTCAGAGAGCACAGTGTTGCAACAAAAGCCACGTCCCTCGGAAATCACTGTACCAAGTACAACACTTCTGAGTATTTTGAACAAAGGAAGCATCCTGCAATATACCTTGAAAGGAGGTGTGATTTCTTAACCAAAAGGAAATGCATATTTTGTACTGGAAAGAACTGTTATTAGAGAGCACAGTGTTGCAACAAAAGCCACATCCCTCCCAACCAGTGTTCCCTCTAAGCTGAGTTACTGTGAGCTAGCTCACCGTTTTTTAGCCTCCAGTTCACAACTTTTGTCTTAGCTCAGGAAGGATGGCTCCAGAGCAAACTAATTTATGCAGGAGCCAAATTGATTGCTCAGAACTTTAATGCCATTGCCAGTAGCTCACAAAGTAGAATTTTTTCTAGCAAGACTCCACAGCTTAGAGGGAGTATTGCTCCCAACCATTGTTTGTTCTAAAGCGGGGGGGGGGATCCTGGCATGCTCCAAGTAGAGGGACCATCTGGAAGATAAATGGAGAAAGTAAGCAGGGGAAGAAGTGCAGAAAAAGTAAACCCTGGGACTGTGTGCAAACGAGCATTTCAGAGCAACATTTGCTTTGTTTGTGCACTCTTCTCTGAGGTGCGCACGGAACAAATCGATGAAGTGGATTTGTTCTGTGTGCACTCCAGAGAAACGTACTAGTCTTTATCATATTATTTGCACGCTTCTCTGAGGTGCAGGTGGAACAAATCAACTTAACTCACCAGTTGCAGAAGTCCAAAAGGGGAAATAAAACACTGGGGCTGTGTGCAGATGATCCATTTTGAATCAATATTTTATTTGCACCCATCTCTAGGGTGCACACAGAACAAAGCAAACTTAATTGATATGTCCCGTGCACCCTGGAGAAGCTTAGTCATATCATTAAAATACATTATTTGTTTCATTGTGCTACTTCCCTTTTGTTCCTCTGCAGTAACAAAGAAGTATAAATAACTCTAAAAGGGGATTGGGTAGACTCATGGAGGACAGGTCTATCAGTACCTACTAGCCATAGTGACTAAAAGGAACCTCCACAGTCAGAGGCAGTCAGCCTCTGAATCCCAGTGCCAGGAGGCAACATCAGAGGAAGGCCTCAGCCTCTGTGCCCTGTTGTTGAACCTTCAGAGGAAATGGTTGGCCTCTATGTGAAACAGAACGGTGGGCTAGATGGACGACTGCTCTGATCCAGCAGGGCTCCTCTTCTTTGGTGTAGTGGTTAAGAGTGGTGGACTCTAATCCGGAGAACTGGGTTTGATAAAATCGGTAGGGTTGCCAAATCTGGTTTGGAAAATACCTGGAGACTTTGGGGGTGGAGCCAGGAGAGGGTGGAGTTTGGGGAGCCCACAAACCAATTACCATTATTTCTGGCTAATGCAAAAGAAGGGTGGAGAAGGGAATCCTTTTTAAAAACTGGCATCAGATACTATAAAGGTAAAGGTTCCCTTGCTCGAAAGCCAGTCGAATCCGACTCTAGGGTTGCGGTGCTCATCTTGACTGAATGAATAAGGAAGTTCTATTTGTCCCCCCTCTAGTTCATTGTACATGACTAGTTGAGCCAGAATGGGCATTTAGGGGCACTTCCCACTGAGGACCGACTGTGTCCACGTTTAGATGCACACCCAGTATGTACCTGTAATTCCTGATCCAGCAAGATACGCTTAATACATTTTTAGCCTCTGCTTTGACTTACAACTACACAGCATCACTTGCACGGCTCTCCCCACCCTTCCATTCACTAGCAGGTTCAACAGTCCTCTGAGACCCAACCAAGACCACCCCCCTAGCACAATTTGTGGCTGAGGGTGGACTTCAGCTTGGGTCTCCAAGTTCAACAGGGTAGCCTCCTGGACCACACTGAGAGTGATACAGAGAGCAATCCTAAGAAGGTCTACTCAGACTCCTTCTCAGGTCGATTCAGTGCAGCTTACTCCCAGGGAAGTGTTCCTAGGATTGTGCTGTCATGCATAGGGTTGCCAGCCTCCAAGTGGAGCCTGAAGATCTGTTGCTATTACAATTACATTACATTACATTACACATTTGACTTATATACCGCTTCTTCCCGAAGGCTCGGAGCGGTTTACATAGATCTCCGGGCAATACAGATCAGTTCCCCTGGAGAAAATGGCCACTTTGGAGAGTGGACTCTATGGCATTGTATCACGCTTAAGTCTCCCCCCTCCCCAGGCTCTCCCCCCCCCAATCTCCAAGTATTTCCCCACCCAGAGATGGCAACCCTAGTGCACCATCATCTGCTTCTACACATGAATCTCTTTACCTGAACTGGAGCAATTGATTGCAAGTTGTCTGGGCTCAGGGCTATTTTTGGGCAGGAACACACAGGAACAAAGTTCCGGCTGGCTCCCAAGTTGGCCACACCCAGCAGGAACTCATTAGCATAATAGGCCACGCCCAAGAGCAGAAACTCATTAGGATTGGCTACATTAGGGGTGTGTGGCCTAACATGCAAAGGAGTTCCTGCTACAAAAAAAGGCCCTGGGTTTTGACAACAAACAAGGTAAACAGAATAAGAAGCAAAAGGTGGGTGTGGCTGGATGACCAGACTTCTGGTAACATGGGTGTGCGGCTTAATATGCTAATAAGCGGTGCAGTCAGGGGTGTGGCCTAATATGCTAATGAGTTTCTGCTTCTGGGTGTGGTCTATTATGCCAATGAGTTCCTGCTGGACTTTTTCTACAAAAAAAGCCCTGTCTGGGTTTATATTGCTTTTGTACTGTTCTGGTTCCCTGACCTGGATGGCCCAGGCTAGGCCAATCTCATCAGATATCAGAAGCTAAGCAGAGTGGGCCCTGATAAGTATTTGGACGGGAGACCACCCTGGAAGTTGAGGGTCGCTACACAGAGGCAGGCAATGGCAAAGCCACCTCTGAACCTCTCTTGCCTTGAGAACCCTGTGAAGGGTCACCGTAACTTGTCTGGGACTTAATGGCACTTTCTAGCACCACCATCACCACACAGTTCTGGTACATTATTCCTTGTGCCCTCTAGATGTCTGGTAAATTTTAATTCTGTTTAAAAGTGTATCAGGTGACCATTCTGAAAAGTGCTGAAGCGGAGGGGGGGGGAATGCCCAAATTTAACATTCCGCACAGTTTCTGTATTTTCGTATTTTGAAAGATTTTGCTTCTGAAATTCATTCTTGAAGGATATTTTTTTAAAGGATGTTGATGCATTGAAGGCAGCACTGTTAGCATCAGATTCAATACTTTCATTTACTGGCACTTTTTAAAAATATATATATTCTTTTCATGACTCTAACTGCATCTGCAATTGTGAAAAATTATAAACCAAATAAAATAATGATTCAAATATTTAAATATTTTCAGGCCTATTCAGATTAGGAGCACTTGCTTTAAGAGTCCCCCCTCCAAAAAAAAACTTTGGGGGAGGTGGTTAAAAGCCCCAAAGTTCTTCCTACTTTAAGAAGATATACAATTTCATTTTATTCAGTTGACTGTTTAGTGTTGACCTTAAGCAGAATTTAAAAATAGCAAAGGGACAAGGCCAGTCGAAGTTTGTCTTTCTGAGTCACCTGTGCATCTTCCCATCACGCCCCCATGCAAGAATGGCTGTCTTTATCTCTGCTATCTTGGTGGTGTGGAATTCCTAAAGTATAAAAGGGGTGAAAGGCCACGGTGATGTCAAGCACTCAATCACCATGCTGGGGCTTCTCGTTTTAGCTGCTGTTGTCCTCTGTGGTGAGTATTTCTGATGTGCAATATTTTGCCAGGACCGAAAACAATTTCTATGCAACCTCCATTGCATCTGCAAACTCTTGCCTAGGCCAATTGTTTAGAATAATTCGGTCTTTAACTGCTTTGCCTCAGGGCATTCCAAATGCTAGAGAACTGGCTATCGTCTGTGAGGCATTTGCGAGCCATTTTGCAGATATAGTCTTGTCTCTCCACTGTGACTTTCCAGCCACACTTGATACAATAAGGGAATGGAAGCCCCTTGGCTGTCTTCAGGGCCAGTACTGGACCACGAACCTAAAAAGGTAAGTCAAAAAGAGTAGAGGGACAACAATTACAATTTAATATATATAATATATAAAAACGGAGCTGTGGTGGCTCAAGTGGTTAAGACGCTGAACTTCAGGCTGTGAAAGGTTGGTAGTTCAGCAGTTCGAGACCCAGGGGTGCCGCATGACTGAGTGAGCTCCCGTCTCTAGTTCCAGCTCCTGCCAACCTAGCAGTTCGAAAGCAAGAAATTGCAAGTAGATAAATAGGTACCACTTGAATGGGAAGGTAACAGCGTTCCGTGCACCTTGGTGTTTAGTCATGCCGGCCACATGACCACGGAAACGTCTTCGGACAGCACTGGCTCTTCGGCTTTGAAATGGAGATGAGCACCGCAACCCTAGAGTCGGATTCAACTGGCTTTCGAGCAAGGGAACTTTTACCTTTACTTTATAACAATACATGTATTTATTTGTAAAAAATTAAAAACATATAGGGGCCCAATTACACCTCATATAAAAATTCCAAAACCATACACACAAGGGCCAGTGGACTTGACCTGATGTGTTTCGGCCTGTTTCGGCCTTCAGAGGTCAAACACAATGAGGAACAAATTGGCTTATACCATAGTACTATACAATTATACAGCATGGATACAAAATGGACCAGAAAAGAATTCTTCCAAAGTGAAACCACTAGGCACAGAATAAAAGTATAAACAAGGCCTCCCAACCTCCAATCACATGCCAAATGATATTTCAGTGATAATAACTTCTGGTCCAGAAACTGCCTTTCAGTCATAGAATGTTAGAGTTGGAAGGGACCTTGCAGGTCATCTAGTCCAACCCCCTGCACTCTGCTCCTGCAGAGTGCAGGGGGTTGGACTAGATGACCTGCAAGATCCCTTCCAACATTCTATGATTCTATGATTGTTTAGTTCAAGCCAGGTGTCCTCAGCACAATTGACCCTGCTTTTTGCTAAAACCATAGATTCCTTCGGTTTGCGGTACAGCCAGTCCTTAGCCCCATGCCATCCACTGCATGTTTTCTATTGGAAACTTTACTCTGCATCATGAGCGAGTGACTGAATCATTCTAAAGAGAGACTTGTACTTTCAAGGACTATCAGGTCACTATTCAACTGGCGTAGATATCATTTATGCTTGGTGGCAAAACCATTTGTTATGTGTATTGTTTATAGTTGTAAGTAAAACTGTATAAGGAGACAGAAGTCTCGAGTGTGATTTGTACAGTGTGACAGATTGCTCTGGTTATTTGTTTGCACAACTGTATTCACTGTATTTCCATTTTTGTGTGTTTGTTAACCCCAGGAGAAAATGGCTGCTTTGGAGAGTGGACTGTATGGCATTATATTCCACTGAGGTCCCTCTCCTCCCAAACCGAGCCCTCTTTTAAGGCTCCATCCCAAAATCTTCAGGAATTTCCCACCCTGGGGTTGGCAGCCCTAGTTACAACTGATCTTCAGACTGCAGAGATCAAGGGTGATTTTCCACTAGCGCTGCTCTGGGCTCACTCTTCACTTTTGCCTCCATGGTAGGTGTCAATTTCACACAAGGTGCTGCGTGGCCGCATTTTGCCTCGCAGAGAATGTCAGTTTTGGAGGGCAACCTCTATAATATACCATAGATTCTAGGGTAAATCCCTCCCCAGGTTCCCTCCTCCCCACGCACTGCCCCCCAAAATCTCTAGGAATTTCCCAGGGTGGAGTTGGCAACCCTGTCCTGGAGGCATCCTTGATGATACTTTCTGGGGTGGTTCCAGGACCTCTTCCTTACCTTTGTACAAGTCTTCAGTTTCTGAGGAGGAGGAGTCTGTGTCTTAGACCATGGCAACAGGGCTTGATATGATTGGCTTACTGAGCTCCCAACAGCCAGTGCTGGGTGTTTCTCAGGTCTCCAATGGCCATAGTCAACTGAGGTCATGCATTCTGACACTGTTTTATTCCTTAAGGACGTTGTTCAGAGGGGTCACTTGAGGACCATGGTCGTGTTGTTGGGGGCTTCAATGCACAGAAGAATTCATGGCCATCACAGGTAAATGATATGAACCATCCTTTTTGCAGCCTATGGTGGTGGTGGTGGTGGTTTTTACCACTCTGTTCCTTTAATCTGGGCCAGAGTTTCAGACTGCCCTAGTCCAAGACTTGGTATGGGCAGGAACAGGGAGAGAGGAAGATGTAGTCACTGCAGCCCCACACCGAGCAAGAACCTGACTTCTTAAACTGTGCTCCTGTTTGGAACTATGATGCCTCCTTATTCTAATGGCTAGTGTGAAAGACGCAACACAGACAATGAATGGAAGTGTGGTGGTATCTATTACACCACTAACGGTTACCTGTTGATTTTGCAAGCTAACCAAGAGTTCAAGTGCTCCACAACTGTCAGTGAACTCAGTTTGCTCAAAGTTACTTTAATCATGGACAGTTAACTAAAACAGTTACAGAAAAGTTTTATGAACTGCTTTTTAATAGAGGTTAAGAGCAATGTTCCCTCTAAGCTGTGGAGTCCTGTGAGCAGAAATTCTACTTTGTGAGCTACTGACATTAAAGTTGTGAGCGAGCGACTTGGCTACTGTCGCTTTTTAATAGAGGTTAAGAGTTGAGACTGGCCTTCTTATCTTGCTATGTCAGATGTAACTCATATGCACTTACAGATCGGATTATTTGCACTTGTGTTATCTCATATTTATTTAAGAACCAAACACTTATCTAGATAATAATCACATGATTATTACAGAGCAGATTTAGAAAAAAAGATTGACATATTTCTATAGATATGCACTACTGTGGTGAGCAAATCAGATTTCTCTGGTTGGAAGTCTCGGGAGAAGATTAGGTGAAATTTCTGGGTTTGTGTAACCTGGGCTTTTTAATAACCCCTAAATGCAGTGAGACAAAAAGCTGAAACCTGGTTTACCTTTTAAATTATTATTTGCTATAACATGATTAAGTAATGCTAAGAACTTTGATAATTTCAGCACTTACATTTACAGTAATTGTAGGGTTAATTTTTACATTCCTACAGTCTTACACAATAAAGAGAAGGATTCCTATTCTCAATAAGGTTTCTACAAGTTTTCAGCCTGGTTTGCTGGTTATAGTTCAAAGAATAAAACTCACCCCTTACTTATTTGTATTATCAGATTTAAAAGTTGATAATCATCCTTTGATAGATAAATCCTGGAGAACTCTGTTGCTAAATGGTTTGCACAGGCAAAACCTTTTGAGAATTGTCGAGTCCAGATTCTCTAACTGGATGCAGGAGCGGAACCTCCCGTTACAGAAAGTCTTTTCGGTTTCCCTTGGGACCCCTATCCTTTTTCATTGCAGGAAGAAAAAAGCAGGCTCAGAAGGAAGAAAATGTTGAGTGGGGAAATGGGTTGAGGAGAAAGGCACCTCTCTGCCCTGGAGCTTCTGTTCATGATTGCATTTTCCCTCCACTGTTTCTGTTTAAAGAAAACAACCTGCTAGAAGCGTTGCTTTCCTCCGGTCCAAGGAGTCTTTTATTGCAAGAAGCTCTTCGACGAGGACTACAAGTCCTAGTGAAATGGAGCCACAGGGAGATAGATACCCGCTGGCTTGTATCTTACAACTTTAAGCGAATCTTCCATCAGAGGGAAAGACACTTACTTTGGAAGAGGAATACTTAGCCTTGAGGAAGGCTCCCAACTTTACTGAGCGGAGGAAACAGGCCCTTATGTCCAACCGTGAATGCTTTTAATAAGCGGTCTGCTAACGAGTGTCCTTTCAATAAATGATTTGTTCCAGTCGTATTACTAATCTGACTGTGGAGGCCTCTTGTGTTCCTTTTGGTGAGCAAAAGAATAATAATCCAAAGACTCTCTCAACTCTCGTCCTATCTAGATTTCCCTCCAGTACTCTTCAGGAGGAAGCTGGTATCATACATGCGGCGGGACACTGGTGAGGCAGAACTGGGTGATGACAGCAGCTCACTGTGTGGACAGGTGAGAATGTCTTCATTGGCTAACCAAGAAAGCAAAGAGGCATTAACTGGAATGTCATTGAGTGAGACTGGGGCCGAGGAGTTAACACTGGGTCTATTGGAAATGTTCACTTTATGTCTTCACATGCGTAAAAAAGAAACCAACCTCTTCTTGAGGTTGTGTCTTCAAATAGCAGGCCATACTGAGAATGAGGCCACTTCCACATAGGGGTTCTGCTCAGTTTGGCATCCACCCTGGACTGGGTTCTGTTGTTGCTTTCGTAGCATCCACGCAATGTCCTCCTCTTATTGTTCCATTTTCCAGGCCTTCCTGTGCTCGAGACCAATCTTTGCCAAACCTGGTTTGAAACAGGGTTTTTCTGCATTCCTATTTTACTCACTGGTAAGTGCCTGTTTCTTGGGGGGGGGGGTCTGTTCTGCACATGTTTTGCTCCCTCTAGTGGTTGACTCAATATCACACAGCTTTATGTTCGGCATAAAAACCTACAGTTTAAATCTGCAGGTTGATACGTTGGAAATAAACCTGTGTGATATTGAATCAACCACTAGAGGGAGCAAAACGCATGCAGAACAGGGGGAACCCCCCTCAAGACACAGGCACTTACCAGTGGGTAAAACGAGAATTCAGAAAAGTTCATAATCTGAAAGGTTGCAGTCAAAGCGCATTTGCACACTACGTAGAAAAGAAGGTACATATTTTGAAGATCGTGCCACATTGGCTCTATTTCCATTGCTTCACACACACACCCGGCTATCATTTCCTCACATACTACTGGTGGGCTACACCACCGTAGCATTATAACAATCTATTGCCACAGTGTAATAATTATTACTCTGAATTAAGTAAGTTTCTAGCCCTATCTTGGTTGTACAACAGGGGGAAAACGCAGGGGAAAGGGCAGCTGACAAAGGAAAGCATGTACGAAAGTGCTGTGAGGATAGTTTGTTGTCAGTATGAATGCCTTTTGCATTCATGGCAGTGAAGACAGAGGAAATGAAAAATCTTCTCCATGTGGATGCAGCCTGAATTAATGGTTGAATGGGGAAGGCTGGACAGAGTTTCCAGACCTTATGGAGGTGGAGTTTTCTGAACATGTACAGAAGACTTTACAAAGGGTTTCTGTAGACGGGAGAGGAGCTTTTCTGTCCAGCATCTAGTGCCCCCCCCCATTCACTTGTTCCCGTCACTAGCCTATCCTCTTACCACACAACCCCATGGGAAGCTGGAGGAAGTTTAAATTTTATGAAACCACAGAGAGCTAAGAATGAATATGTAAAATCTGAGAATTTTGTATACGAAATAAGCAAGTATTGACTTGAGTGGTTGTTTCCAGACTCCAAAATGAGGGCAGGCCTCTACGTTTCAGAGGGAAATATTAATGAGGGCTCCCTCAGTCTGCTTGTGGAAAAAAAAACTAGTGGCAAATCTTCACTTGTCATCGGTTCCTTTCTTGAGTCTGATGTTTCGCCTCAGTAGGAATGCTTAGATCGGTGGACAGCAACAATTAATGGATTTTTTTAAGTTTAAAGGAAATTATTGGGAAGGATAGGGTTGCCAACTCCAGTTTCAGAAATTTCTGCGTATTTGAGGGTGGAACCTGGGGAGGGGAGTTTGCCCAGCAGGGTCCAGCCTCCAACTCAGCCATTTTCTCCATGGGGAATTGATCTCTGTGGTCTGTAGATCAGCTGTCATTTCAAGAGATCTCCAGGCTCCCCCTGGAAGTTGGCAATCCAAGGGGGAAGGACCACACCCCTTGCGCACCAGACCCAATGCACACAGGATGTGTCTTCCTGCCTCCCATGCTCTGAACCTCTTATTCAGTTCTAAAAGCTTCATATCTTCTGTCAAACACCAGAGGGGAAGAATATGTTAGGGACTTACAGAAAGATTGCAGACTGGCAATATAACGTTTCCATTTTCATGCTCTCTTATCTCCAGCAACATGAATTTCCGTGTGGTTGCTGGTGACCACAACATTTATCAAAACGACGGCACAGAGCAATATTTAAGTGTGGGGCGTATCTTTGTGCATCCTTATTGGAACAGCAATAACGTTGCTGGAGGGTAAGTGTTATCCTGGAAATATTACCCAACCAAATAATCCTCCTGGATTAAGCATCAGATCATGTAGTGCCTGGGATTAAAACTATTTTAGATACGCAATTGTTCCAGGTGTACCCAACATTCAATGAAGCAGGTAGCTACAAAGGCATCAGCTTAGTGTAAAGAGTGACCTGAAGA